AGAGAGAGATGAATATAGCTCGCCAATAAACAAAATTGGAGGCTACACGCTAATTAAGATACAGGAGGAAGCTATAATGATATGACGGATGCCAAATTACTGGTGCGTACCACAGTAAGGATTCTAGCATGCCGCACGCAAGATATTGTTGTTCTTTTGGAACTCAAAAATAAGATCAAGCGCCGTATATTGACTCCGGCGTCTCTTATTATTATTCTTGTATCTGTATTGTATTATTGTATTGTTATAAGACGACCATGCAACTAGGCTCGCCAAGCGGGTATATGAAGGTTAAAGCTGTGTTCCCGGAACACTCCAAAGAGTATATGAGTTATAAAAATGGGCTTCTCGATTATCCAACTGAGTACAAATGGTTTAAATGCTACGGTTTAGTAATGGAGAGCTTGGGGTTGGATATATTGTCATGGTAAGCGGGATAGTTCCTGGAAGAAGTGTTTATAATTGTATATATATCTTTGGAGGGATAACATCCGATCATTTTATGAAGCAAAGTGATACACTTGATATCTCTTCTATCTTATGACTTCCGAATACTGTGGTTGGCTGAGATGAGTTCGATCACGGGGCTCGTTAGATGCAATCTTCCTCTACGTATTACTCTTGGTCAAGACCTTTAAAGCAGTTAGGGAGCGCAAAGCCAATAAATCTCCAATCTCGATATGTTGCGCATGAACGAGAGGGTCCACAAATCCGGAACGATAGCAAACCTTCCTACAGTTAGGATCGATCTCAAAAGGCCTTCCGCGGCGATTGGTCAATACGCTTTAAACAGTTAGGACCAAAGCGGCAAAATGGCTCCTCGCGATCGCTTCCATGAACTGAGAGGTGCCACAAATGAACGAAATGCAAACCTTTAAAAAGCAGTCAGGATGTCTGGCAAAACTGGACTCGCCAGACCTTGGTCAAACCTTAAAGCAGTTAGGAGCCAAACCAAAATCCCCTCTCAGATTCGCCATTCCATGAACGCGAGGTCCATTGCAAGTTGATTCGATCAAACCTATTAAACAGTGAGGATCGTATCAAATCTCCCACTTGTCAAAACGGTCTTAATACTAGCAGGTTAGGAACCGGACAACCAAAATCTGCTTCTCGATTCATATTCCAGCGAACGAGAGGTCATAGTCTCAGTTGAAATAGTCAAGACGCTTATTGACAGGTTAGGATTATCAAAACCAGTGCCAGGATTCTTCCTTTGCACGGCAGGAGATAGAATATAGAAATTGGACCTTCCTCTCCGACTTTCGGGTTCATCTCTAGCAACAAAACAAGAGACCAGGAGATAGAATCATAAAATTCTTCCCTCTCCAATTTCGGGGTTCAGTCTCTAGCGGCGAACTAAAGCAGAGACGCAAGAGGAGCGAGAATATAAAATTCTTGCCTCTCGGCATCATCTAGGGTATTATGCTCTACCAACAAAAAAGAGACCAGGAGATTAGAATATAAAATTCTTCCGCTCTCGATTCGGTGCATCTCTACCGACAATAAAAGAGACCAAGTAATACTTCGCGCAATAGGTATCATCGAGTCTATAACTTGTTTTTCGCTACCGTCTCAGCATGGATAGTTCTGAGAATAATCTCAGAATATTCTTAAGAATAACCGTGAATTACTCCTAATAGGTACATCTGTGATTGATGTTTTTGAACCATCAACAGGAAGGTTCTGGAGAATTATTACTTTCAGTAATAATTCTAGAATAACGCTGAATCTCTAATAGGTACACGAGTCTAACTGATCTATCCCTCATTATCAGTGGAAGTTTCTATGAAGAATATGCAGTTAAAATATTCTTAAAGTAATAAGCCTGTACTACCCCTATAATCGGGGTATTAGCAGGTGTCAATTGTACGTACAGAGCTGATTTCACAATACATTGGGTCTAGCTTTAATTCAAGATGCTCTACAATGGAGCAAGGATAAAACGCGATGCGCGTGAGAGAATGCTTAAGGCTATTACTAGCAAAAGCAACCTTGAATAGAGTTGAGCAAGACGAAAAGAGATGCAAAAGTTGAAGGCGGCACTACGGGAGTTCCTCTACACGATCTACTGCAACGCAAGGCATTGGAAAGGATGCATAGAGAGTTAAGATCTAGGTCTTATCAAAAAGCATCCGCAGAACTCGCTCTATAAAAGATTGGAGTCTGGAATACTTTTGAGGGGTGTATCTGTGAGGCGTCAAAAAAATGCTGAAGATTATCCAAATATGCAGGCTCAAGAGGATAATTTATCCAAAAAAGGCAAGATAGACACAAGTCTTTACAGTGCTCGCACGTAGAGAACAGAGCTTGACTGTCTCGGCCGGTGCGTCGAGACTAGTCATTTACTGCCTGCGGCCGATGGCTGAGACTAAGTCTTTTACTATCTCGCGGCTGAGACAGTCGCTGTCCTCGGCCCGACCGCGAGGACATTTGTCTTTGTGTCTCGTCCGTGCGCGACAGGACGAATTTTACTGTGCTCGCTACGTGAGATGATAGCAGGCTTTAGATGGTCAAAACTAGCCGTTTTGGCAACTGGGTGTCCGGCTAGCAGCCGGTGGCGCACATTGAAACTGTTCATGAGTGAGACGTGGGAAACGTCGTGGGCGTAGAATGCTACGTGGTTGGATATAGCTGGCCAAATACATCTGAGTTTGAAAATGGGGGGCGTGGGAATGTGTGCAGGTTATAAACGAAAACTGCTCTGGCGGTTGACTGGTGTTTCGAGACAGTATTTAGCTGGGTCTCGGCAGGGTCGAGAACAGTGCAAACTAGCTTATCTCACGCGGCCAGGTGGCGAGGCACAGGCAAACACTGTTATGCGCCCCACCGAGGAACACGGCAATATGCTGTCTGGCGCAGAGCCTGGGTTTTATCTGCCAACTGTTCTCGAGGGTGTATAATAATACCGCGTCGCTAGAGGTCGCTATTTTGTCCAAGTGGGCTGATGATTTTGGAGGGCACTTCAGTAGCAATTCGGCAGATGCAGAGAAGGAGGAGCAGTAGGGTCTTGAATGCTTTCGGGCATGCCTTTGATATTTCAGGCTTTGCGACCGGTTGAAATTGAAGATAGAACGACATAGTGCTGTACGTTGCAGGATAAGATATCGTTTTAATTCTAACTTCGGATTAACGAAGGAAGAATCAGTAAACCCTCTTCAAGCGGATTTGTGATTCGGTGGTCGCAGCGAGCAATAACCGCGCTCGCCTTTATGGCAACAGGCCAAAGAAGCCCACGAAAGCAAGTGATGCCAAAGCAACGATCGATGGGCGTTTATTTCTCAAGAGTTGTAGTTTTGCTTTTTGTTGTGTAAAAGAGTCTTATAAAAAGGCTGTTTTCTTTGAATTTATTGTAATCAACCGAAGATATAATTAATTCGACAACAAATTCAACTTTTGCTGAAAACATATGTATCTTGTGAAAACTTATGTGATTGTGAGAACTTATGTATCTGGTGTGATTGTGAGAACTTATGTATCTTGTAAGTACTTATTGTGTATTTGGTGTTATTGAGTTGTTGTTATGCATAGGTTAGTGGAAATGAATATTGAAGTTGTGAGTAATTATTTTTTCCCCATCTTGAAACATGCTTGTAATTGAACCGAGGGAAACACAAAAGACAGTGATGATACAAAGTATCTTGTAAGTACTTATTGTGTATCTGGTGTTATTGAGTTGTTGTTATGCATAGGTTAGTGGAAATGAATATTGAAGGAGAAGGTGGATGTTGGGTCTGTGAGAATGGGTTGGAACCGAAGAGAGGGGGAAGGGTCCGGTGTTGCGGAGAATCCTCTCTGCATGATCTCATGATTATTGCTTGAGGAAGTAGTTAGTACCGTGGCGGAGAATAATATCAAGCGAAGCGGCTGAATAGAGGGCAGCAGTTGATATTTGGATGCCATGACTTCCTCTGACGCTATGGGTGATTGGATTTTCAGTGTTCACAGATGAGCGTTAAGGGTGAGCACTTGGTCCAGTCAAAGACCCTCTGACGCACAAATAAGTTCATTGAAGGCAGAGATCTCAATTGAAAGACTTTATAGTAGCGTAGAAAATTAGGTGATAAAAATTTCATATCTACAATTTTAGAGAACACCTTATGCGAGTACAGCCGCACTACCCATTCAAAAAACAAACCAACCCCCAGCCTCGACCCCCAGCCTCGATCTCAAGCTCTCCCCACCCCTAACCCCTCAATATAAATGTTGGAGGCCTAATATGCTCTTAGTTTATGGCATGGTTTATAGCATAACGACAGACGGTAGGGAGAGTGCGTTTGTGAGTGTCAGGGATAAGATGATGCATGTTTTGGTTGTATATAGCTTGTCGCTGGCCTATTGCGCTACGGTCAAACACACCAACATGGGCATTAAGCCATCATACGTACTGTTACCCATCAACAAAACAGAATTCTGAGGAACTGTTACCCATCAACAAACCAGTCATTCATTCAGATCAACATCAGTGACATTGGCTATAAACAATAAAAAGAAAAGGAAAATATACAGCCAAATTATTTGGCTATAAACCAGTCATTCATTCAGATCATACGTACTGTTACCCATCAACAAAACAGAATCAGTCTTAACACAATCAGTCTTAATACATAAAATGTAGTAATACATTAGCAGCTACAAAATGCGCATCACTTGAATCAGTTCTGCTCGTGGAGTTGCTTGAGTGGCCAAGGCAGAGTTGTGGATGAACCTGAGCTGATTGTGCTTGTTCCTGTGTTAGTGGTAGCGCTGTAAGAGAAACACATGCACAATCAAATAAATCGTTTGTTAAAAGTTAAAAACAGAGTTTGTGAACAAACCATGCATACATTAATCATGAGATATGACTTTGTGAGCAAACCAATACATCCACCACCCGTGCATATGTTTACCTGCAAATTATATGATAAATTAATCATGAGATATGACTTTGTGCTATCAAGTTTCATAAACTTATATAGGGCTAAAACTGAATATCAACGAAAATGGTACCTTTGCATGTTAACTTTACAGCTAGTTCTATAATGACCGAGTTCACCACATCTGCTACATATGCGTTTCTTCCTTTCTTTCTTTTCTTGTGCCTGTTCTAAACCTGACTGGATTCTAGTAGCATTGCGTGGACGACCTTTAGTCCTTGCAGGTCTATCAGGATCACGAACTGTTATCTGAGGAATGTTCTCTATTGTATGTGAAATGGGTGCGGAAGATTGAGGAATATCCATAATTTGATCTTGAGTTTCTCCAAATTCTTCTTCAAGTGATTCCATGAAATTTGTTAGCACATCATCAAGTTGTTGCAGCTTCTCTTCTGAAGCAAATGCAAGCTCGAGCACATTATTGGATTTTGCTCTTAAAGCCCAAGATTTCAATAAATTAATCTTCTCTTCACAGCTGGTGATGTTTCTTCCAAATACGATGTTGCCAACCCTAATGTTACGATGCCTTGCATGTATGGTCCAATGGTGTAGGATGTAGTGGTCGGGTAATGAATCCATTTGCCTAGCCATCATTAGCGATAATATATGTCTACATACAACACCATTAGTTTCAAACAAAGCACAAGTGCAACAGAACTGCATCTGACTGGATTGTTCATAAGTAACCACCTCCCATTTTCCTCTATCTGTAAACTTACAGACCTTGTATTCAACAATGTCCCCATCTTTTCTCAATTCTTCACAGAACTCTGTACCAAATCCTTTGAATTCAGTATGGAACACATCAAACATATTGCGTGTATACATTTCTCCAGCTTGGATCTCAATTGGATGTCCAAGGAGCATAACCGGCTTTGTGTTCAGACTCTTAAAATCTTCATGGGCTTCACTTAAGCGACGATGAGTTACTGCTTTTTCATATTGTGTCACAAACTCGTGTAACTGAGTCTGTGAGTTAACATACCCATCAAAAAATGCATTAATACTTTCACTCCTTTGGCTTGATCTCATTCCAGCAAAAAAAGTGTCCTTCAGATAACACGGCACCCAATGTTCTCTGCATTTGTAAACTGTTTGCAACCATCCCTCCCCTTCTTCATTTATATCAAACTTCTCTTTCATCTCAACCCAATATCCTTCACATTGTTCAATTGAAGAACTATTGCACCACAAGCCCCAATACCTTTGAAACTGTTCACCATAACGAGATACCAAAGTAGGCAAATGATCAATAATATGATTTTGCATGTGCCAATAGCAATAACGATGTCTTGTCATTGGAAACACTGAGTGAATAGCATTACACATTGCTCTATCCTGATCTGTTATAATAGCACCTGGTTCAATGCCGTGCATGCATTTCAGCCATTCTTCAAATAACCAAACAAAGGTATCTTCCTATTCATCTGCTAATAATGCACAACCAAGTAAAGTGGACTGCCTATGGTGATTTACACCAGTAAATGGAGCAAATGGAAGATCGAACTTATTAGTTCTGTATGTCACATCAAACACAATAACATCACTGAATTGCAAATAAGATGCTCTTGATCTTCCGTCAGCCCAGAATACACTCCTCATTTGTCCACTACTGTCTACTTCTATTGCAAAATAAAATTCTGGATCATTCGCTGTCATACTCTGAAAATGTCGAATGATAGATATGCATTCATGACCAATATTGTTGACTCTTTGGGTTCTGATATGATCAATGCACTGTTGTGATGTCACAAATTCACCGTCTCTTCCATTGGTTGCATTGATAACGCGAGAAATAGTGGAAGGAGGCATACCTTCTTCTCGCAGACTATCAATAAGTTTTTTTACATCTTTATTTTTGCTTTGTCTGGACTACTCAACACATGATTTGTATGTTCTTCAACAAACCCCGTGACCTCCCACGATTTGTCCTCCAATAATTTAACTCGCATCATTGCCTTACATCCCACTCGGGTCTCTCGCCGAAGAGGGATCTCTATCTTGCCACTATTAGGTTTATATCCCTCCTTATCACAAACAAACTTTTTGTCTACCACTTCTCTAGTCTTGCGAGAGTAATTCACAGTGCTCTTCCTTATTCCAAAACCCATCAACAATGCATAAGAGTTATAATAGTTATAAGCTTCTTCATGACTATTAAACTTCATTCCTAGTAGTGGTTTAGGAGCATTTACAGTATTGGCCGCAGTTTCACTTCCAATAACACTTGATTCTCCCATTCCGAACTCTACACTATTTGAATTTGTTTCCTCCATTCCAAACTCCTAAAGAAGAAAAAGCTGACCCAGCCAATCTCGATTCAAGTGGAAGCAATGTCCGCTAAAAGGAGCCTTGATCGACTATATGATACGCGATAGCACCAGTTTTCCATTCCTCAACAAGAAGACGGATTCGCGAACAGTAGACGTCTTTTTTTCCTCTCAGTCATATGATAATGGACTTGTATTTAGATGAGCTCGACCGAGCTTTCGAAGTGAGTAGTTTGAATTGGAATCGTAATCAACTGAAAGATGCACGCTTTATCGACGAAGGTTTGATTGGAATCTAAAATAAAAGGGTGAGACGAAGAATGTTGATTTTGAATGGAATGTAGTGAAAACTGTGAAAGAAGTAAGTAGAGAACTGGGCTTGCGTAGCGAACTCTTTCCGATTTCCCCAGGAGACGATTCAGTTTTTTTTTCATGTGGATTTCTTCATTTGGATCAAGAAGGATTGATCAAGGTGGATAGATATGGTTAGTCTGAGGTAGGTTCTCTTGAGACAGGGCAATGATGGGGTCTCACACTGTCTCTTTTTTTTGATTGCTTTGATTCCATTCCTTCTCTGCCTTCGATCTAGAAGTTTGCTAGTCCCCGAAAATGCCCGTAGAGTTGGGGTTCCGAATCTGTCTTGACGCAAGCGCCTTCATGACAAATGCCAAGAATCAATCGAGCCAATTCGAAAAAAAGAGGGAAGATCGAATGATTTAGCAAGACCATCGATAACGAAAAGAAAGAAGAGCAAGGGTAGGAATTGAGACTAGGAACTATAGTATCCTTCGAAGAAAAGGCCCTACAACACGAGTGGGATAACGAAGATTCAATTTCTCGGAGTAAAGCAAAACCAGTCAGGAAGGAAAGGGGTTCCATTAGAGTCTTTATAGTAGTTGCACTCTTAGTAGTTAGCTAGCGCTATTCCATAATTTGCTTTCAGGGATTCTAAGGTTCTGAAAGAACGTAGTAAGTGGTGAACGAAGTTTACTCGCTCGTTAGAGGAAGTTAACGGTTGGCTCGAAGAGGGAAGAGATACGCTAGCTACTTGCTTTGTTAGAAAGCTAAGCGACTATTTACTGTTGAGAGGTAGCGAAGAAGCTAAAGAGAGGTTAGTGCTAGCTAGTGTTAGAGAGCTTGCTGGATGAGAGCAGAGCAGACTAGACTGAGTTCCACTTCCATACTCCAGTTTAAAGAGGGCTAATGGCTGGCTTGTTTGTCTAGTCCCACCTCTTCACCCTAAGCTCTTAGTTCCATCCATACACAAGCATCCCCTTCTCTCTAACAACAGCAAGTAGTAAACTACCTGTCCTCTAACAAGCAAGTAAGCCAACTACCTTATCTCACTAGCGAAGCTAGAGTACATGAGTAGACTGCTTTCACACTCGAACTCTCCTACTGTGTGCTGTGTGTGCTTTCAAGCAATAAGACTGCTTGCTAAACGAACCACTGCTGACGAAGTCCTGCACTAGCACTTAAATCAAACCTTCTTTTAGAAATGGGATAAGCTGTAGACATCTGCTTAGGTTATTAAGGCACTGCAGTCTTCTTCTTTCGAACTCGATGCTCTCTTGTTCTTTCCAGCTTTACGGCTGTTCTTAGTTATGGATGGGCTTTTTTTTTCTTCCTGGTGCTTCCCTTCCTGGGCTTCGGTTCTATTGAGACAATCAATCACTTTCGCTCTGCTTTGTATGCGCGCTCCTCAAGTAATAGCTGGACTGTAACTAGATTCTACTCTCTTCTTATTCTTGGTTGTAGAGTTAGATGCCCTACTCAAAGGATCTCTCCCTAAAGCAGTAGACTGATCCCCGGGCTTCTATTGGCAATTATCTTCCTCACTTGATCTGCCCGTACTCTCTTAAGTCGACTTCTTTGCTGCCTTTCCGCGGAAAAGTCATTTCTTATAGCAAGCTTCTTTCCAGCTCTCTAGTATACTTATTCTCTTTCTTATGCTGTTTTCTGCCTGTAGTGTGGTGTGGTTCTGTCCCTACTATTGATAATAAAATCACTGGATGCTCTTGCTGCTCTGCTCCTCTAGTCATTGAACCAGCGCACTCCAATACAAGCTTCTCTTCTTTAATGAATGGGACTGACTCGGCTAAGTAAAGTGCAGTATCGGCACTTACTCGTCTTTAAGGAAAGGGACAGCATACAGTAAATTAATTTACTGTTGTTTCTAATCCAATCATTAGAACACCAACTTAGGAAGACTATGGGAAGGAGAAGCATTCCTACCGAACAAAGAGAGTCAGAGTAGTGAAAATCACCGAGTGAAAGCAGTCACTTCCGGAGTTAGCTCTGCAGATGAAGCAGGCGAAGGCCTTTAAAGAATAAGGACTAGGCTCAAGGCGCATCGATTTGTTTACTTTAAAAGTTAGCAGGCGAAGAACTTTGATTATCATATAAAAAAGTTACCTAGAGATTCAGCCCCTAGAGACGCTAGCCTTCCTTGGCTTGGGTGGATTGCTTTTCAATGCCTAGTTTCGTAGCCAAGCAAAGGGAATCACCTTCTGACCTGACCTTCGACCTTGAGGGTGGCAATCTAGCTTCTGTTAACTCCGCCTCCTCCCTCCCTCCCTTCCTCCCTCCCCCCTCTCTCTCCCCCTCTCTTTCTCTTTCTCTCAATCCCTTTGATTGGATTGGCTTCAAGAAAATTGGTCTTTTTTTCTTTAATTGGTTGTGCTGAAATTGGTGCCTATGGAGATGAGGTTTTGGATTCTGGGTGTAGATCTATTATGGGTTTTTCCTATTTGGTAGGTTTTTATGCCCATTTAAGGGCGTGTGATTTAAGGCATTGGTTTGCTAAATCGACATACAATCCCGGGGGAATCCCAGAAAATACAAAGAAAAAGGATATATACATATAGGTAGGGGTCAACGCAACACGTCAAAATTATGTTTGTTTAGTATATATAATCACACCTAAAGGGGAAAAGAAACAATAATAATTTAGCAATTAATGAAGTGTAAATATAATGGGATTTTATAGGTAAACAGAGCTTACATCAACCAATTCTTAAGAACAAAACTTTCATCGATTAATTCTTCCACTTCATTCATAGATAAGCAACAATAATAATTAAAAACAATCATTTTTAATCGAGAGAGGTGGATCGAGAGAGGGAAAACCCACAATCATTCGTAGAAAATCAGTGAATTACATGAATTAAACCAACATAACAACAGAAATGGGCATAAAAACTACCAAACATGAAAAACTCATAATTGATCTACATCTAGAATCCAAAACCCCATCTCCATAGCCACCAATTTCAACACAACCAATAAAGAAAAAAGACACATTTTCTCGAAGCCAATCCATTCAAAGGGATCGAGAAAGGATCGTGAGAGAGGGTTCGAGTTATTACATGCAGCACCGATTCAATCTCGCAGAGGAGG